AGCTTTTAGTAATATATATTTTGTACAGTTATCTTACAATAAATAATTGATTTTTTGATAAATAAATGCATTTCCTTATTTTTCCTGATGTTCAAGACCGTTCCTTAATTCCTGTGTAAGCCGGAAATTTCAATGTATAATTTACACAATAAGAACATTAACATTTAAATTTTCAGTACAAGATATAAACAATTTCTAAATAATCTACTGCATACAATTCATAATTCAATGCGTAATTAATAAATTTAAATGTTTTATTAAGTTAAATCATGCAGCAAATTTATTTAATACTTTCAATAATTATAAACTACTACTTAAATTGTTATTTAACAAGAAACACTAATTATTTTATAATTAAAGTATTTGAAAATAAGCCCGAAAACAATATTCTCCTATTTACATTATTATTAAATGTTAAAACAATTAAAAATTGATTATAAATATGAATTAAATATAATAGGAATGAGGAGGATAGTATAGCGAAGAGAGACAAGGAGACGAATAGCGGTAGACAAGGATAGCATTAGAGAAATGAGTTAGACAAGGTAAGAAATACGGATAGACAAGGATAGCAATACTACCGCGTGATAGACAAGGAAAGAAATAGCGGTAGACAAGGATAGCAATACTACCGCGTGTTAGACAAGGAAAGGAATAGCGGTAGACAAGGATAGCAACACTACCACGTGTTAGACAAGGAAAGATATAGGGTTAGACAAGGATGGAAAATTTTACAGATTGAGAGTAACGCCATCTCGCGTTTGGATCCACGAACTGCCGACTTGTTACGCGGGTCACAGAATGTGAACAGAGGTATCAGACAAGGAAAGCACTAGTGTGCGACAAGGACAGAGAGAGAACGTTTCCTATTGGCTGGCGGGCCCTTGAGCTCCGCCAATCAGGCCCAAAGTTAAGCCGGTCGGTGAAAAATCATTAATAACTCGATAATTACGATGATTTTGTGAACTTTTAGAATTGAAGAATGAAGTGTGAACCTTCAGCAACTTTCTTATATAGTTTTTAATAGGCTAAACCCTCTCAATAATTAGTTATTAACAATTTTGGCACGGGATGTCGGGAATGATGCCGTCTACGTTTATATACGTTTACGGTTTTTCAATAATTTCATAGCTTTCTAATGAATTCTCGTACAAATAACTATACGTATCTGAAAGGAAAATCCTTCAGCTACATTCTTGTATAATTTTTATAAACAGATTCAGTTTAGTTTAGGAGTTATGAAATATTATATGGGAGCGTCCCCTATTCATCGTACTCGAGTATAGCGAACTGTTACAAACAATTGCTAATATCTAATAAACCACACCACTTACGGCTACCAAACAAATTGCAGAATATAGATAAAAGTCCGTTCTACATTCACCATGCTTAAAAGTGCATAATTAATCATGCATATTCGTGAAAATGATGGAAATCTATTACGCTTGAATACGACGAGTTTAATACTGATCCAAATAAAATTTAATAACTCATTATCTGCGAAGAATTTGTGAACTTTTAGAATTGAAGAATGAAGTGTGGGGCTTCAGCAACTTTCTCATATAGATTTTAATGCTCTGAAACTTTTCAATAATTAGTTATTAACAATTGTAGCAGGCGATGTCAGGAACGGTACCGCATACCGTCAAGTATCTTTCCGGTTTTTCAATAATTTTATAGCTTTCTACTAAATTCTCGTACAAATAACTATCCGTATCTGAAAGGCAACTCCTTTAGCTACATTCTCGTGTAACTTTTATTAACATATTCCGATTAGTTTAAGAGTTATTAAATATTATTTGGGAGCGTCCCTATTCATCGTACTCGCGTCAAGTGGAATCTTATAAACAATCGCGAATATTTAATAAACCACACCACTTACGGTTACGAAACTAATTGCAGAATATAGATAAAAGTTCATTCCACATTCTCCATGCTTAAAAGTGCATAATTAATCATGCATATTCGTGAAAATGATGGAAATCTAATCTTATAAACAATCGCGAATATTTAATAAACCACACCACTTACGGTTACGAAACTAATTGCAGAATATAGATAAAAGTCCATTCCACATTCTCCATGCTTAAAAGTGCATAATTAATCATGCATATTCGTGAAAATGACGGAAATCTATTACGCTTGAATACGAGTTTAATACTGATCCAAATAAAATTTAATAACTCATTATCTGCGAAGAATTTGTGAACTTTTAGAATTGAAGAATGAAGTGTGGGGCTTCAGCAACTTTCTCATATAGATTTTAATGCTCTAGAACCTTTAAATAATTAGTTATTAACAATTTTAGCAGGTGATGTCAGGAACGGTACCGCATACCGTCAAGTATCTTTCCGGTTTTTCAATAATTTTATAGCTTTCTACTAAATTCTCGTACAAATAACTATCCGTATCTGAAAGGCAACTCCTTTAGCTACATTCTCGTGTAACTTTTATTAACATATTCCGATTAGTTTAAGAGTTATTAAATATTATTTGGGAGCGTCCCTATTCATCGTACTCGCGTCAAGTGGAATCTTATAAACAATCGCGAATATTTAATAAACCACACCACTTACGGTTACGAAACTAATTGCAGAATATAGATAAAAGTCCATTCCACATTCTCCATGCTTAAAAGTGCATAATTAATCATGCATATTCGTGAAAATGACGGAAATCCATTACGCTTGAATACGACGAGTTTAATACTGATCCAAATAATATTTAATAACTCATTATCTGCGAAGAATTTGTTAACTTTTAGAATTGAAGAATGAAGTGTGAACCTTAAGTAACTTTCTCATATAGATTTTAATGCTCTAGAGCCTACCAATAATTAGTTATTAACAATTTTAGCAGGTGATGTCAGGAACGGTACCGCATACTGTCAAGTATCTTTCCGGATTTTTAATAATTTTATAGCTTTCTACTAAATTCTCGTACAAATAACTGTACGTATCTAAAAGGCAACTCCTTTAGCTACATTCTCGTGTAACTTTTATTAACATATTCCGATTAGTTTAAGAGTTATTAAATATTATTTGGGAGCGTCCCTATTCATCGTACTCGAGTATAGCGAACTGTTACAAACAATTGCTAATATCTAATAACCCACACCACTTACGGCTGGCAGAAAAAATGCAGAACATAGATAAACGCTCATTCTACATTCTACAAGCTTTAAAGTGTATAATTAGTCACGCATTAGCCGTTCCTTATCTAATATGAACATATTCCGTTTAGTTTAGGAGTTATTAAATATTATTTGGGAGCGTCCCTATTCATCGTACTCGAGTATAGCGAACTGTTACAAACAATTGCTAATATCTAATAACCCACACCACTTACGGCTGGCAGAAAAAATGCAGAACATAGATAAACGCTCATTCTACATTCTACAAGCTTTAAAGTGTATAATTAGTCACGCATTAGCCGTTCCTTATCTAATATGAACATATTCCGTTTAGTTTAGGAGTTATTAAATATTATTTGGGAGCGTCCCTATTCATCGTACTCGAGTATAGCGAACTGTTACAAACAATTGCTAATATCTAATAACCCACACCACTTACGGCTGGCAGAAAAAATGCAGAACATAGATAAACGCTCATTCTACATTCTACAAGCTTTAAAGTGTATAATTAGTCACGCATTAGCCGTTCCTTATCTAATATGAACATATTCCGTTTAGTTTAGGAGTTATTAAATATTATTTGGGAGCGTCCCTATTCATCGTACTCGAGTATAGCGAACTGTTACAAACAATTGCTAATATCTAATAACCCACACCACTTACGGCTGGCAGAAAAAATGCAGAACATAGATAAACGCTCATTCTACATTCTACAAGCTTTAAAGTGTATAATTAGTCACGCATTAGCCGTTCCTTATCTAATATGAACATATTCCGTTTAGTTTAGGAGTTATTAAATATTATTTGGGAGCGTCCCTATTCATCGTACTCGAGTATAGCGAACTGTTACAAACAATTGCTAATATCTAATAACCCACACCACTTACGGCTGGCAGAAAAAATGCAGAACATAGATAAACGCTCATTCTACATTCTACAAGCTTTAAAGTGTATAAT